CTTCCTTGCTCCTGCTCCTTCCTTGCTCCTTGCTCCTTCCTTGCTCCTTGCTCCTTCCTTGCTCCTTCCTCGCAGCAACTGGAAGCCCAAGGACAGGCCCAGCTTGCAGAGACAGCTGGCAGTCGACAGGCTTGAACGCGTCCATTGGGGTCTCCATCTGACCGCCAGGATGGCGTATGGACTTCGGACCCCGAGGAATGGGAGTGCAGGCCGAGACGTCTGAGGGAAAGGGAACAACGCCCAGATTGTCAGATGGACCCAAAGATCGTCAGATGGACCTTCATGCTTCACGATCACCAAAAGCAAGGGAAGACCAAACACACCAAACAAGGAAGTCAAAGGGTCTTGCAACGCGAGAGAGAGAGGGAGAGTGGCGCACTGCGCACGCCAAAGAAGAAAGGCGAGCCGGCAGCGCAAGACTGTCTCCCGAGACTTGCCATTGAAGGGCATGCTTTGACCTCTCAGCCAAAGTGCGGAGGCCACCAAACCAAGAAGTCACAGCAAGGACATGGTCTTGACAACCACACAGCAGCAAAGCAACCAGCACGCGCACACTTTTTTTGATTGATACATATTGCGACTGCTTCACATTTTTTGGCGAAGGTGTCCCCACCTCCCGTCGATTTCAGACACCCCACACTTATACCTCCATAGACCCCAAGCAATTTCAAAATGATTCGTTGGGACTAGTATTAATGCAAACACGATTTCTTGGCACGCCCTACTTTCTCCCCAAGAGCAAATTGCTTAATTCATGATTTTTGTCGGCATCGATAAGAGCAGGACAAGCGAAGACAAGAGGAGGTGCGCGGCCAGTCAGTGTGGCCAGCTATTTTTGTTCTAAGATAGAACCCCAACAGTAAACTGTTTGGGGAAAACATTGCAACCTGCAGCAGAGAGCATGACCCAATGCGGTTATTATGTGTTGTGGCTGCAGCTTTTGAGGTCTTGCATGATCTTCCGCTGAATGTCCTACCAGATGTGGACAGCCCGATACTTGAGCTGATCGTTCCGTTGACTGGTGGTTTAGGCCATGATGACAACGACCTGTCCAATGTTGTCGCTACTTTGCGAGACCAAGATGGAAAAGTGGTGAAGTCTCCAGCAGAGATCCACTTTGCGACGCACGGGTCCTTGGGATGCTTGCAGGGAGGGTTTTGTCACGTGCAAGATTCTTTGGTGGCGCGCATGAGCACGTCTGATGTCCAGAATGCGGCCATGGGGGAGTTGAAGGCCTTGCAAACAAAGAAGAGGCGCAGGGTACCAATCTAGTCATATAGCACATGTTGGCCACGAATGTTTGTTTGCAGCTAAACACTTGCTGCAATTCGTGTTTCCAGAGCAACACACATGTTTTACTGTTTTATTGTAACAGGCACGAGTTGCAAGCCGCTGTCGAGCAAGATTCTGCCAAGAGAATGAGAAGGACAAACGCGTTGGTTAGCATGGAGGAAAAGGAGATGACATACACGGACTTGGCAGCTAACCAAAACCAAAAACACAAGGTTTGGAACGCTATTATGGGGCACCTCACGTCGCTCGAGACTCACGGCTCCAAGAAACCTCCGGAGCAGCCATGGGCATCCTACTGTGAGTGTGCTCTTGTGCAGTTCGAGGATGAGATTGAGTTGCCTCAGGCATTTGCTTCAGCAAACGTGGAGTTCTCAGAGATCCTTCAGGTGGTGACTGTAGAACTTGCTGCAGCCGCGGCGAACGGCAAACGAATTGGTACCTCTCTCAGTCAGCTCGTGAAAAAGAAAAACCAAGCCTGTGCCTTGCAGCAAGATCGAGAACAAAAACAAAAACAAAAGTTGATGGACCTCGTGGATGAGACAACAGCGAAAGAGCTGCGCGACACCGCCAAGATTCTCTTCTGAAAAGCATCTACTGTGAAGTTATATTGTTTATATTGTTGGTTTTCTCTACATAACTTCTTTGTTAGTTTAGATAGTTTACATCCGCGACCTGCAACTCAACGCTCAAGAAAGGAAGCGCAGAAGACAAGCGTGGCATGCAAAACATCCATCTACAGTTGTGACGAAGCGACCAACCAGGCAGATTGATCGTGGAGAGTTCGATTCAGTGTATGAAGTGACACGGAAGAACGTCACAATTGCTGACAAGCTCAAAGTAGTCAAATATTGGCATTCTTTGTGTGCTCGAAAGAAAAAGCTCATGGAGAGCGTTGCTAAAGAATCAGTAGCAACAAAAAAGAGCTTCAAGTCTAAGAGTCAGTTGAAGAGAAAGAGAGGGTTCAACATGCAGGCACAGTGCAAGGCAAAGTTCCCGGATATAGTCGGCAAAACACAGGTATGCAAATGGGTGAGCGCTAGGAAGCGAGAAGGATGGGATGACATTCCTGATGCTCTCCGGCAGCGGCTGTTGGTTCTTCCAAACACCATCCGCGCGCAGCGAGGCCTTGGGCCAAGAGGCCACCCAGAAGGCGGCAGAGTTCCTCTAGTACTCCAGCGGGAGCTTGACACATTGATTTCCGAAGTGACCCACGGAAGGTCAGAGATCACCACCAGGCAGCAGATCGTAACAGTAGACCAAATTGCACCTGGAACTTTTCAGCATTGTTTTCTCTCTTGTCTTACAAATGGGTGACGGTAGGTAACAAAGAAGTCAATGCACCGCTCTCAAAACTAGACATCCGCATGGTGAGGCAGAAACTGCTTGTTCTTTGGTAGATGATTGGAACAGCACCCTTGAACAAAGACGAGAAGAGGTAAGTCACCACAACATTGATCTGTGGAAGAAGGTGGAGAGTGGAGAACTGACTGCCAAAGCAGCTGTGAGCGGCGTCATGTCAATGCCGGAGATGGTGGTCAGGCCTGACACAAGATGGGCAGCTTGGTTCAGGCGAAAGTACGGTTGGTCCCTTCTTTCCCGTGGCATGGAAAACGCCGCTTGGTTGCCATACAACCATCCCGACATGGAGAACACACGCCAGAAAATCTCCGCCTTGATCACGGAGAAAAAGGTACATCCTGGAATGATGTTGAATGTGGACCAGGTTTGGCGCAGGGCCTACGACAACAAAGCTCGGTTCATGTACAAGGACCGGTCCAAGTTTGGGAAGCGCGCCAAACGTTGCAGGCCCGCTAGAACTATCGACAAGAAGGCTCACTACATTGGAAATTCCCGTCGTTCACTTACCGTGACTTGGATACATACTGTATAATTCATATATGTGGTGGTATGTGGTGGTGTGTCTAAGCACCGGCCCACAATTGCCCTGCAATGAATCTTTTCAATTTCAGCCTGTAACTTCCTGGTTTGCTTGCACGTATGCATTGAGGTTTTGAGCTCCAGCTGGTCCGACGGCACACCAGGGCCTGTGGGCTTCTGCCTGCCAAACGGGGCCATGAAAGTTGAATGCATGAACGACTTCAATTCCAAATTTTTTGGACAGGCCATGGTCGTTGCAAGCGGCAGCAAATCTCATTTCATGACGGCAGATGTTTGGCTGCAGATGCTAGAGCAAATGATTTCCCCGGCCCTGAAAATACATCGCTTGAAGCAACTTGCTGACTTATACAGTACAGATATTTGTTGTTGACATGGCTTTCGGTTCAAGTGCCAACTGTGCCCAGACTATCTAACGTGGACGTATGTGATTATTTTTGCTATTCGGTGCGCATATATATATAATGTATATTATATACAGTATATCTATCAGAATGTTGCTGGGCTGCGAACTTGACAAACTCAGTTCAAGGTATGGCTTCGAGATGGAAGACCCGAATGCCAAAGCAGCCTTAATCCTTGACGCTTGGACCGGTGGATTTGCATCGCGTGCGGGAGAAGACATCCGGAGGAGACACAGACCATGTTGTGCACAGTCAGAAGGTGATACTGAATACATCTAAATACAATGTTTGATTCATAATAAATATGGATATATTATATTACATTGCCATCGGTTGCAATGAGATACTATAGAATACTACAGATAATATGCAGTATCAGTATCTGTTATTGAGGGGATGCCGCGGATATGAAAACAACTTGTTCAGCCTTCACGTTGTAATTGAACGAGCAAGCGCTTGAGCAGGAACGCGTTCTATGAGAGGCACAACATGGTACCACCAGAGCGGCCTCCAGGGGGATGGAGCACACATGGACAACCAGTCGATCAAGTGCATGCTCAATTTCGATCAGCGCTAGCTAAAGCTGACCTGGCGGCCACTGGACAAACTGCAAACCTGAGAGAAAGAGCAAGATACTTGGTTTGAACACGTCTAAGTCGCATTGCTGCAGCTTCTTTCTGCTGTTGTTTTTTTGGTGCTGAACTGGGCACATAACACTTCCTCGTTAGCCTTCTGTGTACTGTTCAAGGATATGAAGAACTCGTGTTGCGGCCCAATGGTCAAGTTGAGAATAGTGTCAAGAGCTATACAGAGATCTTGCAAATTACACTTCGGGCATGGCAAACACTGCCGACCTCACTGTTCCAATCAGCGTGGATCGTATGTGGTTACGTGAGTCAAGACCACTTTGAGAACCTGGGAGGCAAATGCTTTCAACTCAGTGAGGCACAGGGATTGCTGGACCCAACGGGGCTTTTTCGTTCATGTGGTCTTCGGGGCACACCAGAGCGTTGTCAGCTGTACGAGTGGCAAGTGCAGGAGTTGCGAGTCCATTTTTCTGCTCAACACAGTCCAGACTTGTTACAACACTTTAACAATCCATCCATGTTGATTTGTATCATTTAACGGGGAAGTTAAACGCTCCAGCGCAGTTTGCCTTCCAAAGCCAACCAGGAGAAGGACACATGGTTGTCTCTCCCCTATGAGCTAGCTGCAGCCATTGTCAAGACCTTAGTAGCCCATGTCAGGAAGATCCAGATTGCCCAGGAGGATTCAACGGGTGTCAGTCAAGTTTTATTTTCCAATGTTCTGCAGTCTACTTGTACAGTTATTACCCCCTCGTGTTCATCTTCCCTGTTAGTTTGCCAAATGGCGTGTTCCACTTTGTTGCAAGCATGTATTCATTTAATATCAACACCGGATCAATCAACTCCACACCTTCAAGGTCAACTAGGTCAACAAGGTTTGGGATTGGAGGGATTGGAGACAAAAAGAAATTTGATAATACAAACGTATAAAACTAATTATATTTTTTTTCTGGGGGAGCTGGGCTTGATTAATAGGGGGAGGTTGCTTAATCCTTTGTCAACATTATAGTCATAGAGTCATAGCAGACTTTCTTCATCTTTCTTCCGTCAGTTGGGAATTTGCAGGAGCTCAGCAACGCAACCAAGAAGTCTGAGACCAAACTACGGGAGAGGGCGCAAGCATTGCGCAACGTTGATCTCTACATCATTTTAAACCCCAAGACCCTTCAGCAGGCTAGTCCTGAGTGGATCGACAAGTATGTCACTATCGATGCCACTGGAGCTCCAACACTGAAAAGTAATGTAAAAGTCAAGCCGAGGATTTTGACTCTGACATATCGATCAAATGGCAGCCAGGATGTTTCATTGGCCCTTGTTCTGAAGCCAGGCGAGGAACCCCGTGCAATCAGGTGTTGGAACTTGAGCTCCGAGGCGAGCACCACCGAGATTTCAAACTTGCTTGGGGGCTACCAGCACATGTTGGATCCAAGTGATGATGAAGGTTCAGATGATACCGCTGAGTATAGTTTGCCGGGGGACGAAGAAGGACTTCGATGTTGCCAGTCGGCATTTGTCTTCGTGGGTCTGGTGTTTCCATGATCTGAATGTTTTGTGTACATTTCTTCTTGCAGTATTTGTTTTAATTGATGCTGTTTTTGCAACATCCCAGGCCAAGCAAATGATGATGATGATGCCATTCCATTGGCCGATGCGCCTGAAGTGCCTGGAGGCCAGATGAGACTTTTTGGCTTCCACGTTTGTGACAGCTTCTTCCCATTCTTTGTTTTTTGAAATTGAAAAGACTGGTAAGTGTTGATCTGACATGATCTGTTTTCTGGCATTCATTGTCCCACAAGAAACTGTTATTGTGTTCTGTGATTGGTTGGCTCAGGTTCAAATATCGATGTTGAAGGTCATCCTGATCCTCCATTGCAAGATGGATTGAGCAGTGATGAAGGCCAGCTTGGGGATATTCGCACTTCTTTGTTTGCTCATTTGATTGTTGTTCCCTGTCTCTCATGCAACAGGGATGTCTTGCAGTCCACTGGTGTGCTGCTTAACCAAGAAGTCATCCCAAGCACGTGTCCAGGCCATTCTGACGCGGATGGTGGTGAATCATCTTTAATCAACATTGGTGCCTTGATGAGGGTGGTGAAGGTCGGCATTCCACCTGTGAGGCCAAAAGTGTTTTTCACTCGCCCAGCATATCTGGAACTCGATGCTCTTGGCTTGGTAGAGCTACCAGATGTCCAGGGGGTGTCCCTGAGCTGTCATGTTAAGAGCCAGCAATGGCACTCCATATATCCTGGTCCTGGCGGCAAGCGAATTCATCATGCGCCAGCTTTTGGAACTGTGCGCCCTGAGCGGGAAGCATTGCTTCTTGCTTTGCACGCTGCATGGAATGAACATCAGAAGGCTACAGGGTGTGGAGAAGAGCAGCTTGCCAAACTCGCGGCTGCCCTTAAGGAAGTGCAACCTTGAATAGCCCAGGGGATTGAAATTTGAGGGAATGATCTTGCTGGTACAGCTGGGAACGGGAAGGAAAAAAGAAGTGAAGGGAAGTGGGAGTGAGCAGGAATCAGCAATGGAAGGGTGCTGTGTGTAGGTGGATTCTTTTGTTGTTCATTGTGTGTTCTAATCAAAGCAGGTATCTGTGAATTCACCTTGCACCTGATCGATGGCATGTGTGCACTCCCCAGAACTTACGAGGAAGTAAATATAGATGCCCAGCCATTTGGTTTACCAGGAAGTTTTTTAAGCATGCCCCAATCAACCTAACCAGGAAGTCATTTTGCAGCCTAACCAAGAAGATGTAATTGTGCTGTTATTCTTCCTTGTTAGCTCCCAACCTATGAAAATGTAAAGCAACTTTGGCTTACCTGGAAGTGTGTCTCCCTGGTCATTTTCCAGCGTTCCCCGGGGATGCATGGGCGCTCGAATTCCTCGGTAGTGTGCATTGCATTTTCTGGCCTTCCTTGTTTGCTGATTGGGCTTGCCTGTCTGTGGTCTATTCCCGGGGGGATGTACATGGTCACCAACTTCCTCGTAAACAGCGTCCTCGCCGAGATTTACTTCCTCGTAAGTTCTGAGGAGTGTAATGACATGCAATGCCAGCAAGGCACCAAGGGTGGCACTGCTCTTGCTCGGCAACTCCCGACCTGCTTCTGGACGAGATGTGTCGTTCATGCAGACCATGCAGACATGCCATGCAAACTTGGACACACAAGAGCACGCAGATACATGACA